ACAAGGAGAAGACAACCGAAGTTCACATGTCGATTTCACGTATTCTACAGATATCCCTTCAAATATCGCCAATAGGATGGGTGTTCAAACTACAATTCGTGATAGACAAATGCATGAACAACTGAAAGCTGATCTGGTTGAACATGTATGGCGTAAATTTGGCCCTGATGGAGACGATGATGGAGACGACACTTGAGATTGAATGTTTTTTTTTTAATTAATTTCGATTATTTTACTAATGTGTGTTTTTATGTTTTTATTTTAAATTCTATGTTTTAAATGTAATCTTTTAATATGTCTTATATAATAAATAAAATTTATGTTAAAAAAAACAATGTTTAATTTTTTTTTTTTTTAAGAACCCCAAAATAAGTAACTTGCATTGGAGACAAATAAACGCTCGGGTGCTTAACGTTGGTGCTTAACAACTAAAAAATATTAAACAAACAATAAGCACCCCAAATTAAGCACTTGGGTTGATGATGCTCTTAACACCATCTTCTGCCACTTCTGTTATTATTTAGGCGTTTCGCGTTTGGTGATCAGTTGTTAACTAGTTCCAATGCACTTCTGTCCTCCACGGCTCCACAGTCCGGTTTGAGAGATACCGGCCGCCGTGGTCCGTATGCTTATCCAGCACAAAACCAACATAAAACTAATAGAATATCATAAAATATTTAACGATCCAATTGAATAGCCGTTATAGTCAGTCAAAACTGATAAAAATATATTAAAACTCCACTTCAAAAAGTAATATATTTTGAATTCCAGTACGGCTGAAACACGTTCCTTACTTTACTTTTTGCAAAAGTAGCTTGGAATACAAGTTATCTATTCCGAAGCCAGTCCAGAGTGATTAGGCCGCAGTTTGTTAGGATTTATATACATGAGACGGGACATGTTAATAATGTTCCTGATCTCGCAGCGGTTATAAAGTTGACTCGTTATATTTCGCGCCAGTTCAAAAGTAGTCGATACTTTTACTGCATATGTAATTTTCTCAAAACAAGCATATATATAAATTTACTATGTTTGTGCAAACAGAAATCAGGAACCACCTACAACAAAAGAGGTTATTAAATTATTAAGAGTAGTTGGTGCCTCAATGTTCACACCGTGTCCAATGTCCTTCAATATCTCTAAACTGGAGTTTGGCAAATGCCTGTCAAATATATGTGAAGACATGATCATTTTATTCAAATTGTAGATACTTCTATGAGATTATTTTTATATAGAATTGTGCTATCATCAGTGTCATATTTACCTATGTAGGCGACGTCCATGCTCCAAGGGGAACACCTCATCCTTATCACCCCAAATAATTAAGGTTTTCTGAATATTCATACCAAATAAAATCATTCAGTTATTAAATCTATGTTTGGATGAAATGCATGATCACTGAGAAATTTAAAAACCTGTGATAATGCATAGAACTCTGCATCTTCTTCTCTTTCCAGCAAATTCTTGGCTAGCTCAACAAGTTCCTTCCGATGTGTCTCATACATCACCTGAAAATTTTGAAACTTTAGGGCAGATTCTGTAATTTTTCTAACATCTGGGTTACTTTCAGAAACACTAGAATATTACATGTTAGAACTAGCAAATAAAAAAAAAACACGAATAATTTCGGACAGAACTAGTAAATAATAAAAAGACAAAAGCATAACATACGGTTATGAATTGGGAGAGGATGAAGTCTGGAACCCAATCAATAAACGCGATCCCAGTATTCATGGAAAGCCTAACCAACACCCTAAGATCACGCGGCTTCCTCGGAACAAGAATCTCCGAAACATCACCACCATGTTTCTTCATCTCCGTCATCTTCTGCTGTTGCGTGAATCCCACTCCACTACTCACGATCACCAATTTCTCGATCATCCCCGGCCACATCTTCGCGATCCTGTACGCGACGAAACCTCCGTAACTGATCGAGTAAACCGCCAAACCGCCCTCGCAGCCCAGCCTCTTCAACCCACCGACAACGCTCCTGGCCTGAAACTCGATGGTCCGGTCGGCGTTTCTCGAGTGAGATCTCCCGAAGAAGACGAGGTCGGGGATGAAGAGGTTGAAAGATTTCGAGAGATCCGACACCTGGTGGATAAACTGCCATTTGGAGTTTCCTCCGTAGCCGTGTAGCATGACGAGGTCGGGGCGGTTGATTCTACGGTGGCCGGAGATCCAGAAATGTAGGGTGGTTTCTCCATCGTTTAAATCGACTGTGACTGGGCGGAGATCGCAGAAAGCTATGAAATATAGAGATAATAATGCGTCCGCGAGTTTGATGAGGATAGGGTAATCGAAATTATCGAATAGACATAGGACCAGGCTTTGGAAGAGAGATATGGCGATGGATATGTAGCGGCGGAGGAGATGAATGATGAGTTTCATGGAGGCCATTAGAGTGTGTATATGATGTTTCTGGAGATTGTGGTGTTGCATGTGGTAAAGGGGAATTGGTTACGGGCTAATATTAGAAAAAGACAGATCCCATTAACATCTCTTCCGGTCTAATTCGGTTTAGTCCGGCGTAATTAGAATTTAAATTTATGATTAGTTTAATTGTTGCTGGTTACAGTTGGTAATTAGCATGACGTGTGTCGACAATGCATGATTTATCTTTAGAAGTAGACACCTAACATGACATAAAATGACAGAAAAGGAGAAAACAATCATGAAACTTCCTTTTCTGTACAATCTTTCCCGCCAAACTTCACTTATGAACCGAAGCCTTTTTGTTATATTTGGAGTTAGTGTTAATGCTTTAACATAGAAAGCTATCATTGTTGTGTACTTTAGTTTTACTCCACACATTTGCAGTTTATATATAACGAAAGTAAGGGATCTTTATTAGAATCTTTCTTAAGCTTCTTCATGCTGTCAAATAGTGTCTTGTAATGGTTCGTCACATGATGTGACTCTGGTCCACACTACATTACAACACATACGTATCAACGTCTTGTCTTATTTTCTACGTCAACTTAACCCAACTTGTGACAAAATTTTGGCACTTGACCCATAACCCTTGACTCATAACTCCATCTACCGAAGTAAACGAGTGTCTTATTGGCGTGATTTACTCTTTTCTACTTTCTTGAGTCACAAGTAAAATCTCCAAGGCTTTTTGTTTGTATCTAAGAGAGTGGCCCTTGTTTTTGGACGTCCATGACCATAATGGTTTCCAAAAGCTTATCGCCCGTCTTTCGAATGTTCACCAGATAGTTTATCAACAAACCTCTCTATATAAACACTAAAGAGAAGAGAGAATAATAGAGAAAAAATAATAGGTCTTAGTTCTTAAACAGAACAATCAAATGTTGCGCATTATCTTCCTCTTATCTCTCATTTTTGCTCTATCCAATGCCTCTGTTCAAGACTTCTGTGTGGCCAACCTGAAACGTGCTGAAACCCCTGCGGGTTACCCTTGCATTCGTCCCATTCACGTCAAAGCCAAGGACTTTGTCTTTTCCGGTTTAGGCACTCCTGGAAACACTACAAACATCATCAGCGCTGCTGTCACGTCAGGTTTCACCGCTCAGTTCCCAGGTCTGAACGGTCTAGGCCTCTCTACAGCTAGAGTTGACCTACCTCCTAAAGGTGTGATCCCAATGCACACCCACCCTGGTGCCTCTGAGGTTCTATATGTCCTTGACGGCTACATTACAGCTGGGTTTGTCTCCTCTGCGAACTCTGTCTACGTGCAGACACTAAAACCAGGACAGGTCATGGTTTTCCCATAAGGCCTGCTTCACTTCCAGATCAATGCTGGAAAATCAGCTGCTGCAGCCTTTGTCACTTTCAGCAGCGCTAGTCCTGGTCTTCAGATTCTTGATTTCACGCTTTTTGCTAACAATCTTCCCACTGAACTGGTCTCGGCTACTACTTTTCTTGACCCTACTTTAGTTAAGAAGCTAAAGGGTGTTCTTGGAGGAACTGGCTAAAAGATACTTGAGATTCATTGACACTTTTCTCTTTGATGGATTCTTGTCTTCTCTGTTTTGTATTTCTTGTAATACCTGTTAAAGTTATTATACACTGTATGTGAGTTTTTCAGTTAGATCCTGAGTTGGTCATTATCGTTTAATATCATTTGCTAAAATTAAATCTAAAGTATTGACCTCTGAAATCTTCCAACGGCGAAACTTAGAAAGAAAAAACGCAGTGTTCCCAAATCCATAAGTTTAGATCCGCCAGCTGCAATGATTTTAAGCGATACGCATGACATTAACCCTCAGGGACTAATAGAGATGTCAAATGGGCGGGTTGTCCATGGACGGTCTGTGTCCAAATTGATATGGACTAATATGTATATGCCCATATTAGACCAAATTTAAATGGGTTTAAATGGGTGAAGTCCAATTGCACCATGGACAAAACCGGGTTTGACCATCCGGACGTTGGGCCGCCCAAATAACTAAAATATTTAGGTTTAAGGAATAACTAAAAAATTATAATTTTATTTTGTCTTGTTAAAATCACTAAATCAATATATTTTTTCAAAATCATAAAATCGTGTCATTCGTGTGTCCTACCGAAATCGTAAGATTGCATTTTTTTGCCCAATCCACAATTATTATTTTTCCTATAAAGTGTTTTTGTCAAAACCACAAAATCATGTTTTTATCTTATGCTTATGAATCTTGTGTTTGTGAATGGTGAAAAGTCTTTGTTTGTTTGTGAATGGTGACTTAAAAGTCTTTGTTTATTTGAGAATGGTGATTTAAGGATGAAGTTTACAAGAAGTTTTGTGAATTTTACTCTTTAAAACTGAAAATTATAGTGTTTACATTAAGTGGGCGTATAGGCACATGGACAGCCCAATAAATCATAGTAAATTATGGTCTTATTTGGTTATGGTCTCATTTGGACAATGGTTCTATTTGGGCTTCGACCAAATATGTCCAGCAAAAAATGAAGCCCATTCGGACACGCCCAAACCCGTCCGGCCCGCCCAATTGACATCTCTAGGGACTATACAAAAAGGAGACATGTTGATTACAATCCTCCTTCAGTCTCTTATTAACTTTGATTTATCACTGGGAATCAAGAACACAATGATAGTTATTTCTTGTTTTGCTGAGAATCTTTGAACTCTAATTAACCCTAATTAGCATCCTAAACATATAAAGGTTAAACCATATATATGCATCTGGTAACCATTGCTTCGATACAAAGTTTTTGTTTTTGGTAAAATGATAGTTATGTTTCTACACATTAACGAAAGACATTTATCTGAAATATTCTATTTTTTGTGCAACCTATTATTCAACTCTCCTAAACCTAAACAAAAAGTGTTCCTTTTTTTCATACGCAATCTACTTAAAAAAATCTGAATAGATTATAATTATCTTTTTCCCCATAAAAACTCCAAGTTGTTTGATTTTAAGGTGCCTTGAAAAGGTCTATGAAGCCTATAAGATTTTTTCACACTTGTACGTGTGTATGTATAGACGAAATAAATTATAAACTCTAAACCTTACTAGTAACAAAAATCATCATCTTTATGTTTTTCCTTTGTAATAGAGATTTTAGTACTTTATGTCTGATTTGTAGAGTCATCATAAGTCTGTGTTTTGTTGATGAAAAAGAAAAAGTACTCTACTAAAAATGTTTTAGAGTACTAAAATCTTAATTTTATATCCTGTCACAAATCTTAAACTATAGAACCTAAACAAATTAGTATTTGTAATGAAAAAGCATAGTTTGTAAAAGTTTAAGATTACATTCTGATTATTATTTTTGTAAGAACTAAATACTTATGATTTAGAGCTGCCGTTGAAAAGGTCTTTTTTAACAAAGGTCTTTTTTAACAAAGGTCTATGAATATTATTTTGGCAATTATGTGTGTATGCACAAACGTAATATGTTGAAAGTTTAAACAAATGATTTGTGCCCGCGTGAATTCAAAACAGAAAGGGACATATCGAGTTTAATGTTGTGCGGTTATAACAGCATTGTTCCAACTTATGTGTTACATTACTAAAAATGTAATTATACACTAATGTAATTATTAAAATCTAACTAACAGTTAATTTAGATATCTATATATTAAAAAAAAGTAGAGCATCATTTAGAGAATAACTTTTGATATTGATGTTATAATAATTAGGTAGACTATATGATGTTTTATAAACAGCCTTTTTGTTAAAATTTACACATACTGATTTTATAACTGACAGCTTGGTTAAAACTAATTCCATCAAATTATTTCAAAATTGTAACTTTATTTTGTCGGCCGATCCATACCTAGTCAATACTTTTAAACAGAGCACTAATACACGTGATTATATTTTCTCTAATATAGATCAAGGTCAAAAGTAAATCTAATTGATGGCCACAATCCGCAGCTGCTGCAAAATAAGCTTTCATTTTTGTACTATATGCTTTTCTTTTTCAAACATACTCAAAATCTGGATGTCTTATATTGAAACACCTGAAATCATGATTACATTTCTCTCTTTTTCGTTTCTTAAATTATTTTTCTTCATTTGACCTTTCATGTGGTAAAAAAGAATAGACAGAAGTCCAAAAAATTCATTCAAATTCAATAATTCACTGCTAATTTCTAATATGTTTCACACTCGAGAAATTACCATTATTTTCATCCATATTTTGTCCACATTTATTATTACTTGCCGTGCTGGTCTGATTTAATTAGATGCATCGATCATTTGATCTCATTCATATCGCTCTTATTAAAATCCACATATATATATATATATTCGATGCATTGAATTCCCAGGTCAAATTAATTAAACCAACTAGGTTAGCTAAGTTTGTTTCAATTTAAACTATGTATGAGTATAAAGCGTCAAGAGCAATTTAGTGGAATTCTAACATCAATATTAGTTCTATCATCTATATTATTAAAAGTGAAGTACTTTTTGATATTTTTTTAAAAAAAAATTAATCACTGTGTTTATAATAAATTAAATGATAAACTTTTGATATTTTTTTTATTTGAAAATTCTTCCATTGCATTTAAAATAAATTTAAAATATATTTCCTTACATCATGCTTAATTATTTTTACAGATTATACCAATATATATCTTTCCTAGTATCAAGCGTAACTAATTTGAAATCATAACTTCCCAAATATATTTATATGTAAATAGTTGTTTACAAATTAATTGAACATATCAAATACATATAAAACTTGGAAATATAAATAATAAACATTTTTGAGAATTTAATATACATCAAATTATTATGTATTATAAAAATTTGTGTTAGTATCAAAATAAAAATCAAATAATGATGATAAACATATATTAGTAAAAAATTAACTATGATCAATGCCATAATCATAACTTTAGGCATTAACTATCATACCTCACTTTCTATATCTTAACAAAATCTTCCTTAGAAATATACAATCTATTAATTTTATATATGATCAACATTAATAATTTTTTTAAATGTAACAAATATTCATTAACAGTAAACAATTCATTAACTTTAACCGAGACTAAATGCATATATAAAAATTAATACAAATAATAATATAGAAAATAAGAAAAAATTAATTTTGCCATTGCATAAGTATTAAAAATATCAATTTCCCAGTCTAAGAATCCATTAACTTTATATATAATAAATATTTTCAAAATTTTAAATATTATGTACATTAATGATAGAAAATTTACCTAAGACAACTAATACTTAATTACTTATTGTAATACTAATTTTTTATATGAAAGAAAAATATATTCAATACGAAACAACATTCAATACTACATAGAATAGTATATAATAAGAAACAAAACAACGATTTTTTTTGACATCAAACAACTATTATATTACTCAATCTTGAAATAGTCTGAAAAATCAAACAAGAATAGAACAACCAACAAACCTATGATCTCTATTTCAAGAATTTTCAATTCTAAATAGATAATCGGAAACAACATTCAATACAAATAATAAGTCAATGTTAATATTTTGATATTTATGTAAGACAAATATATATTGTATGTTTTTATTATTTTGATGTGCGGGTTTTTGTTTTTTTTTTAACACTTAGTTCGGATTAAAATCTAGTCTTATATATTAAAACAGAAGTCATTACTTCTTAGATGCGTGATATTTCATTTTGGATAATCTCTTAGAAAATCATCACATTTAATTATCAATTAATTTTATTATAAGTATAATCACAATTATTTCTTATTAATATCTTAATAAACCAACTATATACTATCTTTAAGGAGAATCTCAATTTTTTACTATACTAAAATAAAAAAAATCTGTAACAAGACCAATAAATTAAATATAATTAAATATACCAACTGATTTATAAAAAATATTTTAACAAATTAATCTAATAATTATTAGCAACATATATAATTATTTTGTAGGTACGTTATTAACAAAAAAAAAAATTTATATGTTATGCAATCATAATATATGATTTTATATAAATATGATCGTGTATCACAATATGTGATTGTTCTTTAATATTATTAACATTTTTTATCAAATTAATACCATTCTAAAACATATAATAGAATTCTTTTATAAACATATAAATAAATTAAATATATTTAATAATATATATTTAATACCATTCTCTAGAATGTTGTTGAAACGTTAAATCTAAATTAAAAAACTAATTTGACATATAATAATTTGTAATCTATATAATAAAAAATAGAACATATTTTCTATGAAACAAATGTATTTACAAATATAGACGTACTAATATATATGATCAACTAAATTACAATATCTTCGTTCCTTACTTTGAAATTTAATTTCTACAGACAAATTAAAGAAGAAAAAAATTATATTTTATCTAACTAAATACATCATTAACTATTCACCTAATCATAATTCAACAAATAAAACACTAACGGAAAAATAGAAAAGTTATATAAAAAGAAAAAAATGAATAAACTTGCACTGAAAATTGAAAATGTCATCTAATTTGAAGTGAAAAT